TCTAAGAGGGGCTGTGGCTGCTTTCAACACCTGTGATTGGTTCTCAGGCTCAGGCCAAACGCCAGACCTGCCCAGCAACAGCCCTGTGAGGCTCTGTAAGAGAGAGGAGGAACTTGTTCGGGGAAGTCAGCTGAGTTGGGGCCACCGCCCAGCCAGCGAAGCTTCCAGGAATCGCTGGGGGAGGGCCTCCCTTGGTTTTAGGACTCCGCCTTCAGTTCTCAGTATCTACAGGGCTCACTCAGGTCCCACTTCCCTGGTTCCCCACATCTTTGATCCCCTAACAGGTTCACCAGAGAGAGGAACACACCTGACACCTCCCTCTAGGCCGGGCAGAGACAGGCTTTCCTTGAACCCCCTTTCCCTGCTCCTCGCCCTGGGCTAAAGTCAGTTTCATTTTCCTTTCCTCCATTCCCTTTGCCTCCTTCCTCAACCGCCCTCCGCCCAAGGTGTTGTCCAAAGTCTTCCTTCTCAGCCACTTCCAAGCCAGGGAAAGCCTGAGCAAGAGGAAGACATGAGGGAGCTGCTAGAGAGAGAAGTCCTGCCTTCTCAGGCAAGGCTGGCGTCTTTCACAGGGTCCGGGTGTGCTCAGGAAATAGTAGTCACTCAGTTCAACTGTTTCTGCCGGCCTTTATTAATGGTCTTCCTCAGCCATACTTGTGGAGGGGCAGGGATCAGGGAAGGAAAGCTTCCAACGGGGAGAGGAGTCTGGTTCTGTTGAAGTGCCCCCCTTCCTAGGCTGAGGGACCCCTAGGAAGTATGGCTTCCAGAAGTGGAGACCTGCATTCAGACCTCAGAATTGTAGGGGTCAGGGAGAGGATGTGTATTATGGAAAAGACTGCTGGCTCTCACACCACCTCTAGCAAGCTATTTACCTTGAGATGAAACGGGTGGGGGAGGGAGGAGACTAGGGTGAGGCATCTCTGAAGAATGTGTCTTTGGCAGGACATCCTGTACTGCCATGGCTCCTCCTGCAACTACGCCCTCCCAAGTCCCGGAGAGCCAGGCAAGGCTCCGCCTCCTCCAGCCATTACTGCTGAGGGAAGGAGGGGCCGGAAATCACTTCCTTTCCCCTCACCCAGTGAAAAGCAATAAACCAAGAGCTTAATAAGGAAATGGATAATAACAGAAAGGATGGGGGAGGCAGGAAGGCAGGGGGAAAGAAGGGAACAGGAAAAAAAAACCCTTGAAAAGCCAGCTGCCATTCAGCTCGGCTACAAATTAAAAGAAGTGCTGCTAGATTCCAAGAGTCTTTACAGAAAGACTCAGCCTACCAAGAAACCCACCAGAGACTACGCAGTTTTTTCCTCACCTCTGGACCCAAGCTCTCAACTCCATACCTAAGCTGGGAGAAGTGGTGACCTCTAGTGGTCAGTGCCCAACCTGCAGGGCCAGGATCCTGTCGCTCTGACCAAGGCAGTGACTGGGGCTCACTCATTCCCTTTTCTGGACCCAAACTCTCCCCGCCTGGGCTCTAAGTGCTGGGCCCCTTCCCACCCTTCATTCTGACCTCACACTGCTTGCTTAGGTGGCCCGTATGGCTGGGTTCCCATGAGGACAATAAAGAGCCTGTTTCTCATTTGTCATAATCATCTTTAATAAAAAATAAATTAGTTCTGGGGTGGGAACCATTTTAGGAGGTGGGGAGCGGAAGCAGGGGCAAGGGTGTCTTATTCTAACCTTTCTCTTTTCCTTCCCCTGCCCAGCTGGTCCCTGCTCTGGGGAGGCAGTCCCTCTTCCTGGGGTGACCCCCATCCCTAGCTAATTGAGAGAGGTAGGGACAGAGAGACTAGGTAAGGGGAGAAGGGGTCAGAGGACAAAAGGGTGGTTTCGAAGATATGAGGCCTGAACATGAGAAATGAGGTTTAGGGCACAATGTTGGGACTGATGGAGAAGCCAGTTGCTAAGCAGTTCAGATTACTAAGGAGCTGTAAACTTGCTTTCCTCTCAGCCTTGAAAAGTCTCAGGGACACAGGCATTGTCCCCTCCCCATTCCTTCTCAGTCTAACTTCTTTTTGAGAAGTGATACACACCTATGAGTGCACACACATCCATGCAGGCCCAGAAACACATTTAGGCGCACATGTGCACACACACCATCACACCACCACACAGACCCAACCACCGATCTTGATAGTCACTGTAAGTCATCTTGCCACCTTTAACCACCCTGGGGGACATCTCTGGTGAGACTAGGACAGGCTGAAGAGCCAGAGGGTACGGAGTGAGCTGATTGATGAGTGACTGATGGGAGCATGAGAAAACCATGAGGAGAGGGTCTTCCGGACCCATTTCAGGCGGGCTCCGGGGGAGACCGCTCCAGGACATGGGCACAAGAGCGGCAACAGGTGGCTGTGTAGTAGGGATAGACGCAGAGCCGGGCCTGTACCACCAGGGGGCAATGTGGAGAGCTGTCCTTGCATTGATCATCTGGGGACAGAGGAGGCCAGTGGGCACAAGACGGTCACCAAGATCCATCCCTCTGGAGGTGTGCTGCCCACTCTCACTGGTCTTTTCTCATCTCCACCCACACTTCAGCTAACTCCACTCTATTTGGGGTTGGGGAGAAGGAGCTCTTTACCAGGGCGCTGGCTGCAGGGTTGGCTGTTACAGGGTCGTTTCCTGGAGGGCCGCAGGTGAGCAGGGCATCGGATGCTGAGGGTCTGGTTGGCAGTCAGGCACTGGACCTCCCTTGTCTGAATGCCCCCCTGGCAGGAACGAGAACACTGGGGAGACCCCGGCTATCATATCAGACCTCTGCTGTGCACCAGGCTCCTCCTGAACCCCAGGCCTCCTCCATCTCTGAAAGGAGTGTGTGTGGGTGGGGTACGTTCCTGGAGCATTATGAAATCCCACATGGAGAGGGACCACCTGTCCTCCAAGTCTACAGGAAGTGGGACAATGTTAAACCGCAGCTGGCCTTATCCTGGGGCACAGAAGGAGGGAGAGGGAGAGGAGCCTCCCCTTCCCTGACGTCCACGCTGAGCAGGGCAAGGGAGCCAGGCACTCACCGGACTCCAGGTTGTAGAAAACCATCGGTCCTGGCAGTCCTGCCCCTGACAGGGCTGCAGGGCGGGGGGCCTGGGCAGGTGGGCACAGTTGCTAGGAGATGTCACATTGAACTCAGTCCCCAGTTTGGACACACAGATGATGTCTCTACGCTGTGTGCCAGAGCCACATTCTGAGGAGCACTGATGTAGGGAAGGGCAGGGTATGTAAGGGGGAGAACAGGGATCTCCCAATGCCCACATGGAACCCCACTGACAGGCACCCCCTCCCCGGCTCGTAGCTGACCTCAGTCCAGGGCCCCGTGTACCAGCACCATGTCATCTCACAGGGCCTCAAGCTGCAGGCACGCATGTCAGGGGGGCGGCTTCCTGGTGCACAGCTTTGCTCACTGGTTCCTGTTCCTGTTTCCTCCTGGCCCACTCCATGGGCCTCCCCACTCCCGAGGCAGACCACAGAACGTCGCTGGATTCCTGTCCCACACTCAGCTGAACACTGTTAGGAAGCAGAGCAGGCTGTGTGATGGGAGGCAGCTGATGATGAACAGGGGAAGAGCAGGGGGCTGAGGACAGGCGCATCATGGTTCCTGACCCCAGGAGTGAGGGAATGCCCCCAGGGGTACCAGCCAGATAAGGGGAAACTTTGCCTGGGCTCCAGGACCCTAATGTAAGTTTTTCTCACTTATCTCTGAGTTCCCAGCATCAGCAGTGTCTTCCACACAGTAGGTGCTTTCTCAATAAATGTTTACTCAGCTGTGCTGGGAAGGCTCTGAGAGGGTGTCCTGGGTGTGGAGCACCAGGGATGTGGGACTTAGCGAAGGGGGTGTGGGGCCTACCTTGGAGCTCCAGTCACTGTGGAACCAGGCCGTGGTACAGGGCCCCATGTCACAGGCCTCTCTGTTGGGGGGCCGTGGGGGGCCTGAAGCACACTCCCGCTCACTCACTTCATCACCGTTGTTTCCAACACAGCGAACTTGCCGGCTCCTCTGGCCACGCCCGCACCGCACAGAGCACTGAGGGGATGAGGGGGATCCAAGGAGTGGGTTTCCCAGGTTTCCTTGCCAGCCTCCATGGCTTTTGAACCAGATCTGCCTTTGATCCCTAGCTCAGGAGTTACATGGCTTTGTGGCTCGAGGAGCAGGCTGAGCCTGGTGCTCTGGGCCCCCCACCCCTGTTCAGTCTCTTATCTGACTGATAGTTTGGGGGTCCATGTGAGATCTTGTTATAAAGTTTCTGCTGATTAAAAAGAAGTTGGAAAAAAGCTGACTGGTACCTACTCCTCTAGGATCCTTCCCCCTCCAAGAGACTCCTTGCCTAGTCCCACTCACCTGGCTCCAGGGGGAACGAACCTCCCAGTGGCCACAGAGGCGCAGCTGACAGGGCTGGGTAATGTTGGGCCGGGGGAGATGTCCACAGCGCTCTGGAGGCACTGAGGAGCCACCCCCACCAAACTCTTGCCGGCAGCGCAGCTGGCGGTGCTGGGTGCCAGGGCCACAGGAGCGGCTGCAGGACGTCCACTCGCCAGCCTCCCAGCTGTGGGCATGGGCAGGGCGGGAGGAGACAGAGACACAGATGGCAAAAAAAGAGATGTGTGGGGCTGCCATGTTCAGGGAGAGGGACGACTGACTCGGGGTGGGGACCCCTCAGAGGAGAGGGGGCATATTTAGTGTTTGGAGCCTGGGTTTCCTCGTGGAGCTCAGGCTGCCAGGGTTTTCTTGCTGTCTATGGAATGTCGGCCTTTCTAATGGAATTCTGTCTCTCTGCAGCTAGGACATCTTGTGCTGAGTGCACAGTCCAGGTGAGATCCTACGGGCAGCCCAGGGCAACTGAGGATCCTAACACTCCCTGTGGGTCATACTCACTATGGGGGGCATGGGGGACCATGGCAGGGTTCTAGGGAGGCTGGGGGCCTGGCGCCCAAGGCACAGCTGCGTTCATCCAGTTCCTCTCCTGACTCACGAGAAATGCAGAGGAAGACAGGGCGCCAAACACCTGAAGGTAGGGAGAGGGAAGCCAGGGGAGGCGGGATGGTGAGTGTGGTCCAAGGCACTGGAGTCTGACTGGCACAGAGTCGAGGTGTGCACCCATGATCCCGGATATGAGATCAGGAGCGCCAAGCTGGGGATTTGGGCTAAAGGTGCCAGGCATAGACTGGTGCATGAAGTCTCACCTTTTCCACAGGATGCGGAGCACTCAGAGTGCCCCACTCGTTTCCAGTATCCAGTTGGAGACCCCAGGGGAGTCCTGGGGTGGGGTGGGGCAGGCATCTGGGGGATCCGCACCTGACGCTGGAGGGTGCCTGGGGTGCGGGCAGGGCGGGGTGCTGAAGCTGGTGGGGGCTCTACCCTTAACATCTCTGTGCAGGGAAAGTGGAGTAAGCAAATCAGATGCAGCCCCACGGCCTCGGAGCTCCCCGGTTCAGCCTCTCCCCTCCTTCTAGGTCTAGGGATTGAGGTCTCACCAGGCTGCAGTTGGGGGATACGGGGCTCTGGGGTGGGGTTCTCAGGGTTTGGAGGAGGTGAAGAGATGACATACTGATAAAAAACACCTGGGTTTTCCTCCTGAAAGATCATCTGGGGAGAAAAAGAGATGATAGTGAATGTTTGGGGATGTGAGGGGGGCATACCACCAGCCTTCTCCCCCATCTTGAGACCCCCAGCTTTGCCCTCAGAGGGAAAGGCCTGCCTCCCCAGCAGCCCAGCTTCCCCAGGCTCCAAGCTCACATAGACATCCACAGGCTGGGTTGTGGGGCCCTCGGCTGACAGACTCTCCCCGGTGCCCTCCTCTCGAGGAGGACGGTTGTACCGGAAGATAGTCCCACCGGCCGTGTAGGACCCAGGGGGATCCACAGCCCAGTTTCCGTTGATGATGGACCGGCCCCCAGGGCCTCGAAGTGCTGCAGGTGAGAGAGCAGGACACGAGGTTAGTCAGACTGTCCTCCTCTCCCGCCACTTCCCGAAACACACGGAGCCCCACACACGCCACCTTCTCTCAGCTTCCTCGCCGCCTCCCCAAGGCGGGGAGCCCCTGACACTCCCTGCTTGGCTTCTGTACTGCGCTGAATGCGGATGTGGAGGGCAGAACCAAGCGACCAGGAATGGAAGGGAGACCCAAGACGCAGGGGATCCAGGGGGCTCACCCAGGTAGTTGGAGCTGGGCTGGAGCTGGGCAATGTGGAGGCGGGAAGCTCCAGCAGGAATCAACAAGATCTTCTGATAGCCCAGAGGGCCCCCCCGGTTAGTGAGGTTCCCCGAGACGAGGCGACAGGTAGAATCATCACCCCCACAGACTCCACAGCCATCTCGACGCCTGCCAGAGCCGAGGATCCCATCGCAGCCGGGGCTCTGGGGGAAGGTGGGGTGGGGGGAGCTGCTCGAGGCCAGGCACCACCTCACACCCCAGCCTGGTCCTCTTGGGACCCTGTACTACAAGTGAGAATGTGTTTCTTTGTCAGCCCCCCATCCCCAGCTGGCCTCAGGGACACTTGGATGTGCCTGAGGGGATCCCTTCAGTTCACCTCCTGGCTCTGCTCAGTTCAGGCTCGCAGGTGAGAACTTTCCTCTTTGCAAACTTAGTCTGGTGTTTTCTTGTGATGATGAAAGAGGAGACTCTGTGTGTGTGTGTGCAAGTGTGCGCACACCATCCTCCCTCACCAGGCAGCGTCCAGCCACACAGATGTCTAGGGCTCCGGGCTGACACAGGGTCCCATCCTGGACCTTTTCGGTGTGACGGACATAGAAGCGGAAGCCACGGGGGCGGCAGTTCAGTTCACAGCGTTGGGAGCCCTGGACTAAGAGGCAGGGTGGAAGGGTAGTTAGCTAGGGTCCCTGCTAGGAGGTTAACTGGGAAAGACCCCAGGGTCCTGACGGCAGCTTGGCTTATATTAGCTAAGGGGCATCCTGAGGTTGCCCAGGTCACTGTGATAAAGGGAACATGACAATTCCATACTCTAAAAGGTTGGTTTGAGGGTCACACAAAAGTTGAGTAGGGTCAACTGAGGTCACTGAGACCAGCAAAGGGGTTGTGAACTCTGAGAAAGGAGAGAGACTTGAAACCATGTGTGAGTTCAGAGCTCGTGAGTGGCTGTCCTGGTATCAAGTTGAGACAGGCCTAAAATCAGGTGGATGGGAACTTGGGAGCGAGTGATGTAACATCACTCAGACCCATGGCACACCCCACCCTGCTGTCACCACTGGACAGGATCTCTCTGACTGTGCCCCTCAGTCACGTCCACACCACCTCCTGGGATAGACTTCCTCCCAGAAGAAGCCAGCCAAAGGGCACCTACGGACACCTCCCTCTCCCAGCCTGACCCTCTCCTTACCACCCACCACCATCTGACAGCTGAGGCCCTGTCTGAAACTCCCTCCCCCTTGCCAGGCCTGTGCTCGCTCTTCACCTCAACCCTGGGAAATAAGAAACAAAATATGACACAGAGACTACAAATTCTTCCCTACAGAGGAGAAACGGAGGAGCTGGGTGTCTCCCTCTCCCCATCATCCCCCAATCTTAAGCCCCCTTGTCCAGGGAGTGGGCTAGAAACCTCACCTTCTGTGAAGGGCTCCCATTGGTAGAGCTGGCCCATGAACTCCTGCGAGTCAAAGGCTGCACACTGCAGGGCCCGGGGGTCTGGCTGCTCAGGGGGGCAGGGCTGAGGTGGGGGGATACAGAGGAGTCAAAGCTGGGGAGGAAAACGGGGGTGTAGGTCAGGGCTGGATTTGGGGGGGTAGGAGGGAAGGTCAGATCTATGGACGAGCTCCAAGGCCCCTACCCTGAGGAGGTCAGATGCCAAGGCCCTTCTCCCTCAAGTCCAGATCTGACAAGCTGAGGACCCAGACTCAAGGTCAGGGAAGGAGAATTGGAAGCTGGGGTGGGGGGCGGGGGCGCGGGAGAGATGGTCCAAGGAAGAACTCACCACTTGGATGCAGGCTCTCAGCTGCTCACTCTCCCCAGAACATCTTGGAACAAGGCTACTGGGAGCAAAGAGGCTCCAGAGGGAGCTGGAATGGGGGCCAGCACTCAGCAGAGGCAACCAGCCAGCTGGGTGGTGCGGGGCAGGCTCTGTGAGGGACCTGTGAAGATGCCCCCCAGGTCTCCAGTGCTCCCGGCTCTGCTGGCCTCGGCCCCAAGGGACAGAAAGGAAAGGATTAGGGTATCTCTCTGTCACCCGGGGGCTGGCCCAACCCTGGGAACTCGGCATTCCCGGCTGAGGGGACACATGGAAGGAGCTACTTTCTCCTGGGGAAAAGATGGATGAGGGAGGCTCTGTGCTGGAGGCCTGGGCTCTGGGGTGGGGCCATGTGGGGTCAGGCCTGGTTCTAGATGGCACCTCTGTCTGAGCCATTTCGGGGCTTTGGGGTTCTGCTGGCGGGGATGGGGTGTGGGCAGACAGTTCTGTAGGAGGGAGCTGAGTTTGAGGGGTGTGGTTGGCAGAGGATGGCTCTGCTCTTGGAGTCAGGGATGGAAGATCTGAGGCCTGGGAGAGCTCAGATCTGGGTGACCTCCGGGGGTGCCTGCGGTTCCGATGGAGCGGCAAAGCAAAGGGCACTCTGCCATAACCAAACATTCCTGGCTTGATGGGGTCTCGAACCCGGGACCTGAGAAGGTGTTGCAGACATGGAGTCACAGCTCTGGCGTTTCGGCTCCTGCCTCCCCAGCCCACTTCCTCGCACAGAAGATAGGCCTCCCTAAGTCATCATGTACCCTTTCCTCCCCTTTCCTTCATCCAAAGCCCCACCCCTTGCCCAAGGCCCACCCCTTCCGTCAAAGCCCCATTCCTCACCTCCTGGCTCCTTGAATCTCCTGGGCCTCCTCTCTCCCTAACTGAGAAACAGGACCTCCAAGTGGGCCACTTGTTCCCCGAGGCTGTGGCCTGTACAGGGGGAGGGTTGCTCTGGAAGTCTGGGGTCTGGGGCCCTGACCCCCAGGGAGCAGGGCTTCTGGAAGTCTTGGGGGCCGGGGTGGGAGGGGCAGGCCCTGGTGGAGTTGATCTGTAGGGAGCTGACATGTCCGGATCCTGCGCTGCACCCCCACCCCACAGGGCTGAGAGCAAGAGGCCCACTGGTCCCAAGGACCCCAGACGCCCTCAGGGCCTTGGCTCTCCTCAGGGGCTGTCTGAAGAGAGTGTCCAGATAACACCTATGTAGACAAAAAGGTCAGAGAAAATTAGAAGGACTTTCGAGTATCTAGTCCAAGGCTGGGGGCATGGAGCGGTTGTTACTGGCCTAAGGTCACGTTCAGTAGCAGAGGTGAAACTTGATGTTATCTGACAGGGAGTTAGGGAGTTGAGGGGCAGGGAGCGCTGGGAGGGCCAAGTGTGTGAGAGAGAGGCCTTGGCTCATCAGAGGCTGCGGCAAATGGAGAAGGGGGATGGGAGATGGAGGGAGATGGAAGGATCACAGCCTCTCATCCCTGGCTCACCTCCTGATCCAGGCAGAGTTGAGGGAGGGACAGAAGCAGCATCAGATACAACCCGGGCCTGCAAACCAAAGGCAGGAGTGGGGATGTCAGATGGGAACCAGAGGAGGTATTATGACACCACCCCTCACCCCCAGCAGGCTCCCCACATCCTGATGACAACTTCTCAGAAAGCAGAAGTTACTCATCACTTCCCCCAGCCCCTCCCAGTGACCTTTCCCTCACTTCCAGGGACAAAGCTATCCTTCCCCCTCCCCCAGAGCCCCACCTCTTACCTGCCTGCCCAATTCTCCATCACTCCTCCCTTGATGGCCCTGGGGCAAAGGAGGAGGGGACCGGAAGCCAACACGCCACTACTCAGGCATCTGGGCATGGAGGGGGTGATCTCTGCAGGGGCAGAAGCCTAGTGGTCATCTCTCCAGTCTCCAGAAAGCTGGAGGTTGGGAGGGATGACTCCTCAGAAGGACATCTCAGAGTGAGGATGGAGTGGTGAGGATGAGGGGATGGAAGACTGGTCCACCCCTCTAAAGTCCTAAGGGTGAGGGGGAGAAGGAAGGCTGCCCTTGTCCGTCTGCTGAGGCTGGAGGGTGGGGGACCTCAGCCTCCCAACTCAGGCTCCAGTCCCCTCCCTTCAGTTTAGGAACTTCTCAGCTCCTGCCTGGTCCCAACTAGGAACTGTCTGTAGGCCAGCTCAAGCTTTCATCTGACTCCTCCTCTTGCCCTCCCAGAGGTCCCGGAAAGTTGAAGGGGGAGGCTGGGGTGACGACATGCCAGACACGCCCCCTGAGGAGTTAACAAGGAGCCCCTTGGGCTTTCCGTTCTCTACCTGTTCCCAGTTTTTTCTTCTCTTCTTAGCTAAGCTCCTTCTGGAACATTCAGGCACATCTCTGCCTGCCCCAAACCCTTTTAGCCAAGGGATAAACTAAGTGAGCTGATGGTTTAATCTCTAGAGAAGCAGGTGATTTTCCCACTGCGACTTAACTTCTCTCTAGGGGCCAGCATCCAGCACTGGTTCAATGAGGGCTTATCTCAGGCATGACTTTGATGGGTTGGGGCAACCTGGGAAGCAGAGATGCAGCTAGAGCTGCCCATCGTGGGTCCCCAGGAAGTCCATCCTGAAGTCTAGCTTTGATCATCAGGGAAGTGGAGCTTGGAACCCTAGCCTGGTCTCAAAGCCTGACTCTCCCCACTGCTCTCCCTTGCCCTCCAGCCCCTTCCTGCTCACTATAAGCCCTTCCTACTCCCACCCTTCATCCCACTCTTAGTTCTGCTTTCCAGGAAAAAAAAAAAATGTTTCTGTTGGATCTGAAAGGCACCCGGGAGAAGAATCCAAGGAGCTAATGCGGAGGTGGGCCAGCTCAGGGGCAGGAGAAATGACAGAGGGAAGGGCAGGAATGTGCTTGGGGGCAGCAACCCTCAGCCCCACTCCCCTACCGAGACCCTGGGACTTGGGAATTTGAGGGAGCGATCACAGTGGTTGAGCCTGAGCCCGCAGGGTCACCTCAGCTGCTTGGGGTTGGGAAGGGGGCTGATGACGGCTGCTCCTTCCCCTCGCTGGGCTGTCCACTGAGGTCAGCAACCCTGCCCTGTTGCGGGGTGGGGCTCCAGAGAAGGGTCAACCTTCCACCCAAACCTTCAGCTCTCTGCCTGACTCTGTTATTTGGGGTTGAAGGGAAACAGAGACGGGGGTGACGGTTACTGTCTGACCCGTCTCTGCGGCCAGGTCCTCCCTCCACTCCCTCTCCGCCTCTGCTTCTCTCTGCTACCTCAGGTCTGTATCTTGCTGTCTCTCCTATGGGTCTACGCAGTACACATAATCCCAGCCTGAGCTGGGTTTGGCTTTGGCAATTCCCTGGAGAAGTGAGGGTTGGCGGGTGGGGGTGACGTGAGCTCCTGGGGCCGGGGCCAGGCCTGGCTCCCTCTCTGGAAAAGTCCCACCCGCCCCCCTGCACAGCTAGGCAGGGGGCCGACATCCCCTCCACTGCGGAAACAGACACACGTTTGTGCTTTCACCCCTTTTCATGTCCCTCATCTGGTGTGTCTCACTGCCCGGGGTGAGGAAAGGAGAGAGGAGAGATGAGAAGCGGTTACTCTGGTGCCAGGTTGGACACTGGTCTAGACAGACCTGGGCTCCTCCTGGCCAGACCTCCACTCTGGCCAGTGCAGATCAAGGAGGAGACCTGGGCAGGGCTCACCCCTTCTCCCCGCCCCCCCCCCCCCCACCTCCTTCTGGGAAATGGGTCGCTGCCGCAAGGGAGGGAGCTGGACAGCATGTTTCAGGGCTGGCGTGGAGTCCCTGCCTGTGTCAGAACGCCTTGTTCCTCGTTGTGCGCTCCACTCCTGGGTCCTGGAGGACCATCCCGACAGGTGCCCTTCCTTTCTAGTCATCAGTCTGAGCTAGATCAAGGGCACCCACCTGCATCCCTCCCAGCGTCCCCGTCCCCAACTCCAGGACTGAAGGGGGTGCCGGGGGCACACATGCTCAAGGAACACCCTCCTAGAGGAGAGCAGGAGGCGCGTGCAGGGAGGTCCTGGGTAGTATGTTTTCCGACTTTTACGATGTGATTTAATAGGAATTTTGGCTGATTCTCCGCCCGGGTGATGGGGCCAGAGTTCCACGGAATCAGAGCCCCCTCCCCAGGAATGCGACCCCAGGGACTGGAAGATCTTCCGAGGCTGTACGAGCTGGGACCGGGGTCGTGGCTGGGGCCCGACAGCGGGGCGCAGGGAGCGGGGGCGGCGCGGGCGCGCGGGGCGGGTGGTCTGACGGGGCCGAGGAGAGAGGGCGGCCGGGGCCGGGGGTCCCAGGGAGGGTCTGTACCTGCTCTGCGCAGCCCCGGCGGCCCGTTTACCCTCCTGCGCCCGGGCGCTCTCTCGAGGCAGCCTCGCTCCGCGGCGGCCACTACGGCCCCTGAGCCGGGCTCCGGACACTGCCGCCTCGGCCCGGCTCCGCCCGGCGCCCCGCCCCCGCCCCGCCCGCCACGCGCGCTGCCCGCGCCCCTCGGCGGCCCCCGGGGGCGGCCCACCCCAACTCCTGCTGCCGGGGCCACCCACCCCGGGGCTGCGGGCCTGGCCGCCCCTGCGTGCCGGGCGCCCGCCGACGGCTCGAGGGGCGAAGCCGAGGCGGTGCCAGCCCGGTCCGGAGGCAGCCGTCGCTCCCGGGCACTGTCCCTGGGCTGGCGCGCGGCCCGACCGGTGCTGGGGACTCCGGGACCCCAGCCCGCGGACCGGCTCGGAGGGGGAGGGGCGGCGCCGGGACCGAGCGGCGGGGGCGCGCCCCGGCCGGGATGGTCCCGCCCGACGCCGGATCCGCGGCGCTCGAGGCCCTCTCCTCCGCGCAGCCTCTGGTGCAAGCCAGACATCCCTGCCTCTCCTAAGCTGGACTGTGAGCCGCGTGGTTCTGACTGCGCCGGGACCTCTGTGAGCCTCGGTTTCTTCATCCATAAAATTGTACACATGGAGCGTAGCGAAAGGAATGCGCTGACTTAGGAGTCGGACGATCTGGATTTGCATCTCAGTTCAAGTACTTGCCAGCTTTGTGCCCTTGGATGAATACTTTGACCTTTCTGTGCTGCAGTTTCCTCATCTGTAAAATGGGGCTAATCTGATGTACATGTTGGCTTTGGAGATATGTCTCTCTATTCATTTCTATCTGAAAAAATGCACCTCAAACTCGGAATTAGTGGCGACGCCTGGGGAGGAGGGAGGGGTTGGGGGAGGGCAAAAACAGGCTTTTGCCTTTTACTCTGTATGCTTACGTGTTGTTTGAATTTTTAATCAAAAGAGTTATCTGTGCTATCAGTTATGTTAAAAATAATATCTATAAAATGGCTGAGTAGATAATAAATGGTCACTACTATTTTTAAGGTTTTATTTGCCATTTACTCATGAACCACAGTCGTGTATTGTTGGATCTACTCGATATTTTATTTCTTTTGTGTGTGTGAGGAAGATTGGCCCTGAGCTAACATCCGTGCCCAGATTCCTTTCCTCTGTATATTGGAGGCCTGCCACCCCATGGCTTGATGAGCAGTGGGTAGCTCCGCACCTGGGACAGGCGGTCCCAGGCGGCTGAAGCGGAGCCGGCAAACCTGATCACTACGCCCAGGCCCAGCCCCTCTATTCAGTATTTTAAAGCTTTTGGGTTTTTTTTTTTCAGTAATTTGTTAATATTTTAACACCAGGGTGTTTTATGTTTTTTCTTGAAAACCAAAAACACAGAAGTAGAAGCTCTGGTAGCAGTGTTCTGCATGCCCCCAGAACAGCAGGTCTCAGATGCTGCCACCTAACATTTCTTGAGCACTTTTTGCACTTGGTGCTGGGGGCACGGTTAGAAGACAGTCTCGGGCCTCAAGGAATTGGGTCTAGTTGGAGACAGCCAGCCATGGGAGGTAAGTATTGGGCTCAACAGAAGCAACCGTTATCTCTAAGAGATGAGGGAAGTGAAAATATAAATGCTTTTGAAACATAAGAATTGTATCCTCATTTGAAGTTTAATATGCATATTTTGTTTTCTCAAATCCCTAAGTTCTTTCAAGACAAGGACTATTTATACTACTTTGTATCACCTGTATTTTTTCTTTTTTTTTTAATTTTAAAAAATTGTTTATCTATCCAGAGAGCTTGAAGTCAGCAATTCCAAAAGTCCTATGCACCCCAATGTTTATTGCAGCATTATTTACAATCACCAAGGTGTGGAAGCAACCTAAGTGCCCATCAACAGATGATTGGATAAAGAAGATGCAGCATATATATACAAGGGAATACTACTCAGCCATAAAAAAGAACAAAATCGTCCCATTTGCAACAACATGGATGGACCTTGAGGGAATTATGTTAAGTGAAATAAGCCAGATAGAAAAGGACAATCTCTGTATGACTCCACTCATATGAGGAATTTAAACCTGTGGACAAACAGAACAGATTAGTGGCTACCAGGGGAAAGAGGGGGTGAGGGGTGGGCACAAAGGGTGAAGGGTTGCACCTACAACATGACTGACAGACAATAATATACAACTGAAATTTCACGGGATTGTAACCTATCATTAGCTCAATAAAAAATTAAAAAAAATTTTTATTTTTTAAAATTTTTAAATTTTTTTTTTAAAGATTTTATTTTTCCTTTTTTCTCCCCAAAGCCCCCGGTACATAGTTGTGTATTTTTAGTTGTGGATCCTTCTAGTTGTGGCATGTGGGACACCACCTCAGCGTGGCCTGATGAGCAGCACCATGTCCTTGCCCAGGATTCGCACTGGTAAAACCCTGGGCTGCTGTAGTGGAGTGCGTGAACTTAACCACTCGGCCACAGGGCCAACCCCTCACCTATATTTTTTCATATTTTGTATTCATGTTTTGTTTTTTGTATTTGTAGGGTTAAAAGACGTATTTAGGTTGGAATGTTATAGAGCAAATGAGTTCCAGCTGCCCAGGCCTGCTGTCCCGACTTTTCCGCCCAAGCTAACAGGCCCATGGGCAAGTGGGTAAGCTGGCTGGGGACACCTGAGACCCCTGTTATTTTGTGGGGATGCAGGCGAATGTTGTTAGAGCTTCTATTTTTGTGTTTTTGTTTTCCAAGAGAAGTTATAAAATACCTTGGTTTTAAAATATTAAGTCACCAAAAAAAACCCTTTAAAACACCACATACACCACATAAAACATGACTATTGGGCAGATTTGTCTGCAGGCCTCAAGTTTGTGTCTCTTTTTTCTTTTTTTTTTTTTAATTTTATTTTTTTTCCCCTTTTTCTCCCCAAAGCCCCCCAGTACATAGTTGTACATTCTTCGTTGTGGGTCATTCTAGTTGTGCCATGTGGGACACTGCCTCAGCGTGGTTTGATGAGCAGTGTCATGTCCGCGCCCAGGATTCGAACCAACGAAACACTGGGCCGCCTGCAGCAGAGCGCGCGGACTTAACCACTCGGCCACGGGGCCAGCCCCTCAAGTTTGTGTCTCTTAAAACATCCTCTGGGGCCGGCCCTGTGGTGGAGTAGTTAAGTTCGGGCACTCCCCTTCAGTGGCCCAGGGTTTCGCAGGTTCAAGTCCTGTGCGCCGACCTAGCACTGCTCATCAAGCCATGCTGAGGTGGCGTCCCACATAGCAGAGCCAGGAGGACCCACAACTAGAATATACAACTATGTACTGGGGGGCTTTGGGGAGAAGAAGAAGAAAAAAACCAATTGGCAACAGATGTTAGCTCAGTGCCAGTCTTTTTTTTTCTTTTTTTAACATTTTATTTTTGTCCTTTTTCTCCCCAAAGCCCCCCCGGTATATAGTTGTATATTCTTAGTTGTAGGTTCTTCTGGTTGTGCTATGTGGGACGCCGCCTCAGTGTGGCTTGATGAGCGGTGCCATGTCTGCACCCAGGATTTGAACCAGTGAAACCCTGGGCCGCCGCAACAGAGCACTCAAACTTAACCACTCAGCCACGGGGCTGGCCCCAGTGCCAATTAAAAAAAAAAAAAAAAATCCTCAGTCTTGGTCCTGTGTTCCTAAAGAGTTTGGGAAGATAATGGGTTAATATCACCACTCCCCCCATCCCCCCAAGGGTTGGTTTATCTAGGGACTGTGGTGACACACAGTCCTAACCCAAAGGCGTATTTATAGTCCTGGATTTGGAGCGGAAGCCCCTTTGCTCCACCTCAGGGGACAGAGGAAGATATTTTAGGTCAGGGACTTTTCAGTGCCCCCCAGTGACACCTCATCAGCAGTCGCTTATCTACAAGGAAGCAAGCCGAGGGACAGGAAGGTGGGACTGAGGACAGCAGAGTGGGAAGGGAGCCTGGGAGGAGCGAAAAGTTCCACCTTTGACATTTGTAACTGCCGTGAACTGAAGGTCAGAAATAGTCCTTTCCATTAAGAAGTGGCTGCGGACCAAAGCGCTCACGAGATTTACTCCAGCTGTCACCTCCCAGGACTTGGTGGTCTGAAAATATTGTGTAAAGAAGAGAATTTCCTATGCCTCAGCAACTTGTGAAGGACCAGACTAAATTCGTGGACACTGTCTCAAGGATAAAAAGAAGTCTCTTAAAAGATTATGTAATAAGTAGATGTTTGCCCAAAAGTATCTCTAGGACTAGGACAGATAAAGGACAAAGAGAGGGGGGCTGGCCCCGTGGCCGAGTGGTTAAGTTCGCGCGCTCCGCTGCAGGCGTCCCAGTGTTTCGTTGGTTCGAATCCTGGGCGCGGACATGGCACTGCTCGTCAGACCACGCTGAGGCAGCGTCCCACATACCACAACTAGAAGAACCCACAATGAGAAATATACAACTATGTACTGGGGGGCTTTGGGGAGAAAAAGGAAAAAATAAAATCTTAAAAAAAAAAAAAAAAAAAAAAAAAAAGGACAAAGAGAGGGGACAGGCTGAGTGACGGTTTGACTTTGGGCTTAGCAGAGTGATTTAATAATAATAATATGCCTAACATGTATACAGCACTGCCTCTGTGCCCAGGGCTATGATAAGAGCGTCACACGTCACCTCAGTCAGTCCTCATTGTCACAGATTTGGAAACAAAGACACAAAGAGAAATTCAGTAATTTGCCCCACATCTCACAGCTAGAAACTGTTCTCTCTATATATTGTGTGCAAGTGAAATTTGTGAGAAATTTAGCTCGGTTCTATTCATAATTTTTTCTTCTGGTAGGAGATTAAGGAAGTTTTATTTGCGTTGAATTAAATAACATTTTAAGCTAATGTTTCCTGTGAGACATTGCCCCTATTCCAAGTTAATGCTGATGCTAATGCCAGTGTGTACAGGGGGCCCAGAAACGAATGTGAAACGATCTGTCTTTTGGTTTGTGGTCATAGCAACCTTTTTCAGAAAGCCTGGTGTTTGCCTTTCTGCCTCTCGGAATCATGGTTTGCTCAATTCCTTTGTTCTAGAAGAGCCACTCTATTCCCAGTGGCTACACAGCAGGCTGGTCTCCAGCCGTTGATTCCCAGTGTCCTGTCATGTCGTTTCACACTGTTTTCT